TTTTTTTTTTTTTTTTTTTTTTTTTTTTTAAATTTTTTTATATTTGTACATCTAATCTGTTAATGCATTTCTATTTTAAGTATTACTTGATAAAATATCATTTAACATTTCTGAAAACCTGCAAAGGTCTTCGGTTAATAATCATTATTAAATGTTATGATATAATGAAATCAACTATGTGCACGTAATTTCAGACGCTTGACTAGAAGATACTACACATAAAAGTTTTTACTATAATAGAATTATAAATTGAAGAATACAATATAATTATGCATACAACATTTATCTACAACTATTCATATGAATATCTGTAAGTCTAGACTGTGTCATTTATTGATACCTTTAGTTAATAAATGTTATATGGCAAAGGTCTAGTGACCTTCACAAACAGGGTATTGCAAATGCAAAGAGAGAACACAAATAATGATAAAGATCTCGATATCAATATTTGATAAGGATGGAGCCTGGAATCTACTTTGCTAATGAGGCAGAAGTGCGAAAAAGTTTATTTTTGGCAAAATTGTTAGTATTGCAACACGTATAAAAGAGTATGTGGACAAAGAGTTACTCTCAGTACTGTCTAGGCTCTGGAAATACTTGAGACTCCAGCAACAACCTACTACCTAACCACCATGCGTAACTTTTATGGTAAGCCGCCGGAAAGCAGAACTTCCAAATGGTTGAGCTAACTCACTTTTGGAAATTTGCAGCTTTAACTTTACTGCTCATAGCAGTATCTGCAAGCACCATACTTGGCGCCAGCGTGGATAATCGACAGTATGGCCAGAAATTCTGTAAGGGAAAGCCAAATGGCCTGAGAGCTCTCGTGCCCGGCAGCTGTTCCAAATTTATTGAGTGTTATCGAGGAGAGTATAAGGAGTACACTTGCCCCAAGTTCTTCGACATTACAGCGGGAATTTGCGTACTGAAGAATCCAGGCTGTGTTGAAACTGTTGAGGAAAATCGTCAAGCGGCTACAGTTAGGGATACGCAGAGTCCTTGCCAGACAACAACACCTCCAATCGTTACCACTCGCCCACCGTGCTCTGAAAACAATAAGCCAACAACAACTCCTTCAATTGTTACACCGACCCCGCCGTGCACCGGTGACAAGACAACACCAACACCCACTACAACAACTACGACCACGAAAACAACTACACCAAAAACAACAACTACTACTACAACTCCATGTACAACAACTACCACAACAACGACCACGACAACAACTACGACGACAACAACCACGACAACAACTACGACAACAACAACCACGACAACAACTACGACAACAACAACCACGACAACAACTATTAGTACAACTACAACCACTCCATGCACCATTACGACTACAACAACGACAACGACAACTACAACCACAACTACAACAACAACGACAACCACAACCACAACCACAACGACAACAACAACTACAACTCCATGTACAACGACTACAACAACGACAACAACCACGACAACAACAACCACGACAACAACTACGACAACAACAACCACGACAACAACTACTACTACAACCACAACCACTCCATGCACCACTACGACTACAACAACGACAACGACAACGACAACGACAACTACAACCACAACTACAACAACAACGACAACCACAACGACAACTACAACCACAACTACAACAACAACGACAACCACAACCACAACGACAACAACAACTACAACTCCATGCACAACGACTAAAACAACGACAACCACCACGACAACAACTACGACAACAACTACTACTACAACAACAACAACAACGACAACTACAACAACAACCACCACTCCATGCACAACAACAACCACGACGACAACAACAACAACGACAACAACAACAACTACGACAACAACAACAACGACGACAACCACTACATGCACCACGACTACTACGACAACGACAACAACTACGACGACCACAACGACGACCACAACGACGACCACAACAACGACCACAACAACAACCACCACTCCATGCACCACGACTACTACGACAACGACAACGACAACGACAACGACAACGACAACGACAACGACAACGACAACAACCACGACAACAACTACGACAACAACTACGACAACAACTACGACGACCACAACAACAACCACCACTCCATGCACCACGACTACTACGACAACGACAACGACAACGACAACGACAACGACAACGACAACGACAACGACAACGACAACGACAACGACAACGACAACGACAACAACCACGACAACAACTACGACAACAACTACGACAACAACTACGACGACCACAACAACAACCACCACTCCATGCACCACGACTACTACGACAACAACCACGACAACAACTACCACAACAACTACCACGACTACTACGACAACGACAACAACTACGAC